AACAACCAAAACCAAAACAAAATAGCCAGCACAATAGTGTAACCTTTTAGCAGGTGTGGATAGGGAAATGGGGAGTAGGAAAGCTGAGGGAAATCACAGAAGGGGGAGTGTGTGTGTGTGTGTGTGTGTGTGTGTGTGTGTGTGTGTGTGTGTGTGTTGGAATCCAACACTGGTGGAGATGACTCTAAGAAGACAGTAGTGCTGATGAAGATGAAGGATGTGAACTGAAGATGATGTGTAAGGCATTGCTAGATGAGAGAGTGATCTGGGCCGAGACCAAAGTAAATTACATTCAGAGCAATCGAGCCATCCCCTGAATATCATGCCATCAGTCACAAGGGCATATGGGTACATGCCAATGGAAGCTTTGCCTATTAATTGAAGCAGAATAAGTGGTTCCATGTGGTGAAGGACTTTGAGCCAAACCAGCAGAGAGCCAAATTCTCCTACAGCACTAGCTGGACACCCAGACTGGAAACAAGAAACTCAAGAATAATAAGAGTGTGCTGGGAGGTGGGGGCTGAAGGAGAGGCTCGCCACAGAGTATGAAACCTAGCTCACTGCTCTTTGTCAGTGCAGTCCCTTTGTTCCCTCATCCTTTCTAAGGCAAATAAAAAGGGTTTCTAGACACCCGGTTTGGAAGCCAAACCACAGGCTCTCCAGGGCAGAGAAACACAGGCAAGAAAAGAGGGTACATTCCTCTATAATGGTGATCAAACGCCTGGACATTTCCAAGAGGAACTCCAGAATTAGGGTGACTACTGGCTACTACTACACCCCAAGGCAAAATGTTTCCCTCGGAACTGAAGTAAAAGACATGAGACCACAGGAAATAGCTGATGGCAGTTCTGCCATATAACCCCGTTAAGCCTAGGGAACCATCTGGGAAGTAACTATATTGGCTCAAAAATTTCAGAAATATATCCAATTGTATCCCCAGAGCCTTACAGAGTCCTAGCCATGGTTGGAGTTCAATCTGGCTAAAGACTGTAGGGAAATTAATAGTAAATGAACTGTCAGACATCAGCAAAGTGGATCTGAATATCTGTTTTCATTGAAATCTTTGGTTTTATGAAGATACAAATATTTAAGAGTAGGAGAAAACGAAACATGTTCTTAAGGAAGAGCTAACCAGAAAATCTGAGCCACCAATCATTTTAAGTGCTCATTATGTTGTCAGTAGCAGAATCTTAATCCATAGTACAACCCTTGAAGAAACCATTGCTCGGTGAAGTTAGGAACCCCTTCCCCTAAAGACAAGAGTTGGCAAGCGACAGGTCTCCCCAAAGCCTGTTCATGCTGATTTCACTATAGCTTCCTCAAGGAGGAAGCAAAGAGGAAGGAGGGAGGGGAGGAGGGGGGCAGCAGTTGGGAGCTGGAGGAGTGGAGGAGGATTAGGAGGAGAAGGCTGTGCAACTTCTCTTCTACTAAAATAGGAGGGATGCAGTTACTTTCAGACCAAGGAGGACCTGATCAAGCAAACACAAGTGTTTCAAATTCCAGACTCAAAGTCTGAGTCACACACCCTTCACTGTGTGTCCGTGTCACTTAAACTCTGAATTTGGAACCAGAATTCTGACAGGAAATTGGTTAACATTGCCTAAACAAAAACAACAAAGAAAATCCTCACATCCCTCTTCTCAGAAATTAGGCATCTTTAAACTGGAGATTTCTAAGCAAAATAGGGTTGCTGCCTGGCTCGTTTCCACAGAATTTAGCATTGAGAGAGCCAAGGCCTGAGATTTATCCTCAGTTCCTGGGCAGGGGCCAGAAACACAGAGCCAGGCAGACAGAGGCCCAAGTTGTGAGGCTCCAAACTGAAAGACATTAAAGTGAGGCACCAAGTCACAGGAAGCTGGCAAGGCCTCAATGGTGTGGGTCCAGATTCAAAGAAAAGATTATTGTGAGTGACTTTTGAAAGCACTCCCCAGCAGATCTGAAGTCACAGTGGGAATTTCATGGCAGGACTGGGGTGGGGTGGGGTGGATAAGGATGTGAAGAATTACAAAGTCAGGGTTAAGGAGCCGGAGTACAGGAATTGATGAAATCAAAGAGGAAAGGAGAAAGGTGGGTATGAGAAATGCCCTGGGTCTGAGATAAAGGACAGGATTCCACACAATAGCGCCCCGTTCTCAAAGGGGGAAAGGACGTTAAAACCTTAAGCTACAGGAGTTCTGCTGTTGACAGAGAAAAAGTTGAAAAGAGGACTGTATCTGAAAAAACGGAGTTCCTGGAGAATACACAAATAACTCAGTGTGTGTGTGTGTGTGTGTGTGTGTGTGTGTGTGTGTCTGTGTCTGTGTCTGTGTCTGTGTCTGTGTCTGTGTGTGTCTGTGTCCAGAAGGAAACTCCCCAAAAGGAAATGAATGCGAAGGCTGGATGCCAAGCGGAGCCACCGGGAGGATAGTGGGAGCCAGCCTCCTGCCTAGAGTATGTCCCGCAGGAGACCAGCCCCCCACACTCACCTCGGCCGTAGCCCTGCGTGTGCTTGGCGAAGCTCCTCACCACCGCCTCCACGGCCTCGCGCAGCACCGCAGGGCTCCCCGAGGCGCCGGGGGGCAGGGGCAGCCCCGGGGCCCCAGCCAGGAGCAACGGCGGCGGGGGCGGGGCGGGGGGCGGCGGGGCGGGCGGCGGGCCCGCGGGGGGTGTGGCGGCGCTAGTCGGGGCCCCGGTCACCCCAGGCCGCAGCGCTCGCAGGGTGCCTCTCCCGCCGGTACCTACGCCGGGCTGCAGCCGCTGTGCTCGCAACGTCTCCATCTCGGCAGACGGCAGAGCTGGGCCCCGCAGCTTGCCAGCCTAGCGAGCTAACGGTCCCAGCTACCCTAGTGAGCAAGAGCCGAGGGACTGAGGGCGGTGCCGGGATCCAGCTGTCAGTCAAGAGCAGGCGGGGACCAGCCAGATGCCATGCCAATCACTGGTGGAGAAGGAGAAAAGGGGCGGGCCCCTGCGCCACCTTAGGCAAATGATTGAGAAAGGCGGAGGCTGCGGGAACCAATTGCAAAGAGAAAAGATGATACTGTCTAAGAGGGAGAGCTTAGGAGCATCTTTAGGAATCCTGTGGCAAACGCTAGAAATCTGGCCAGACCCCTGGGGCGGGGCTTGAAGGAAAAATAGGCCTGGAAGCAAGGCTGAGTAGATTTGTAGCTGGAAAGGATTTTTAAAGATCATTTGTCTGGTCACTTCACTTTCTAGATGAAGATGCGGTTCAGAGAAGTGATATGGCTTGTCTCTAAGTTCATATACAATTGGTAGTAAAGCTTAAATGGAGTGTGATGCTGACTTTAAGGAGAATGTGCTAGGTAGTATTCTTTAGTGCACTGTCCTATTTAAGAACCGCAAGCACAACCCAGATTTTATTATTTTACAAACAAGGAAAGTGATGCTCAGGAAGGTTAGACAGACAGCCCCAAGTCAAATAGCTCATTGGTAAGGGGAATTCAGACATAAGTGTCCTGATTCAAATGTTTTCATTTTCACTTTGATACATTTAGGGATGACTTTCTGACTTCAGCTACTCACCAAGGGAAAGTAGAATGTGTTTATCACCGTACAGAAAGAAGCTAGAATACACGCAGAAGCCCAACTGAGAAATTCAGAATATAGACTGGAAAGGGTAACTTTGTGCACAGAACTCTACTCAGGCTGAGTCCTAACTGTCATCCCCACACAGACACCCATGAGCACATACTATGACACGCTTTTGTTGATTATCAGTCTTTATTTTTTTTTTCTTGGGTGAAGTTACTAGCCCCACCCTCTCTCAGAGATAAAACATGGAGGTGAAAACAAAATGGATGATGAGGCATACCTGGTGAAATGAAGTTAAACTTTGTGTTAAAAATTAAAACAAAACAAAAAATGCCAAGAAATAGGAAGTCATATCTGCTTATGAAGAAGGTGGGGAGGACTCTGTAAGATTCTTAAATGGGGGGCTGGAGAGATGGATCAGTGGTTAAGAGCACTGCTGCTCTTCCAAAGGACCAGGATTCAATTCCCAACACCTACATGGCAGCTCACAACTGTCTGTGACTCCTAGGAGATCCAATACTCTCATATAGACATGCATGCAGGCAAAACACCAATGTACATAAAATAAAAATTAATTTAAAAAGAATCTTAAATCATTAAAGGCCAGACATGAAGAGTGGCGGGGGGGGGGGCTATCATATGCCTCAAATCATTCACTTGCCTTTTCTTCTACAACCACAATTGGTCGTTGGGTCTCCTGGAAAGAAGGTAGCCATAACCTCTAGATGCCCTCCCTGGGTAGCTGTAATTGTAAGTTAGCAACCCCTCCCCCCCTTTCCTTTTTACCCCAGCCCCACACCTTCAGGCAGCAGTGACAAAACCGAGACTTCTGAACACATTTATTTGACAAGTCAAGTGGTAAGAGGGCTGGCATAGGCTTACTCCCCAGTTCTACCTGTAGGGGGTGTTCATAAGCTCACACACACACACACACACACACACACACACACACACACACAGGAGCAACTTAGAGCCCATGACCCACCCCCTGGGGTAAACAAGACAGTCTGTAGTGGTGTGTGGGGGGGGGGAGGTGCAAGGTGGGAATAAAAAGCAGGAAGGTGAGAGCGTGAAAGGCAGCAAGAGAACCCAGACTGGGATCTGCTGCAGGAACCCTAAGAAAAGTGAAGAAGACATCCTGAAAAGCGAATGGAAGCCGGGTGTGATCAAGGAGCCAGGCATGGAGAAGCAAGACCTGAAGAATGGGGTGAGATATTCATGAAGAGAAAGTAGAATATGAGAAAGTATGATAGGCCACGTTTCAGGGCATACATAGAAAGCAAGGGATTGCTTTTTCAGGAGAGCAAAGATACAGGAGACCAGCCTTAAGTGGGGGGTTCCCTGCTGCTCCTGAACAAATGCCAGTGAGTCTGGGACCCCTAGCACAAATGGTCCTCTGTTGATGTGCTGTGTCTCTGGGTACCCAAGTAGTGCCGCGTGCTTGTGAAATGACCAGGACACGAATGCGTGGGTCTATACGCCCAGTAAACACAGTATTTATCCATCCTCGCTAGTAAGTGTACTGTGCTTGTGGACACATGCTTACTCATGTGTGCGTGCACAGTGCCGTGAGCACATGCAAGAGATCCCATGTCCGAGGTATCAGCTGGTTCTCCCGCCATCAGGGTCCTGACCCTCCCCTCCTCGGTGCCTCTCACTTCTCTCAGCGCCCTGGTTCCCCTGGCCCGCCCAGACTCTGGAAACCCCCTAGCAGGCGAATCTGCTCAGTCTGCATGGAGTGGCGTCTCACCAACTTGCGCTTGGTCCTGGGAGACCCTGGTGCCCCAGAGTGAGGAGGGCCAGGCAGTGACGGTGCCCGACCTCCGGGTTGGGGGCGAATGTCGGGGATGGGAGGGTGGGGGCTGACGTTGAGAGGAGGCAAGAAACCGGGTCGTGTTTGCGAGATGTGGTCCAGGAGCAAGGTCCCGGAGCCCCTGCGCTCTAGCAGCCCGGGACTCCGCCTCCGTCCGCTCAGCGGGGAGACAGCCCCGGGCAGACTTTCTTGGGACTGGCGTGGGGAGGAAACTGAGCCCGCTGGAGGGAGGGTCAGCGGAGAGGCGCTGTATCGCCGGCGCTCCAGGGCTAAGCGGCTGGCCTCGGGAGAGTCAGGGCAAAAGTGTCCAGGGGTATCGAGCTCCACCGGCTCCATGCGGCTCAGTTTTTGCCTTAGCCCTGAAGGCAGACCTGACTCCTGAGCCTCGGGAGCTGTGTTTCGGCGCGAGAGAGGACCCCCGCCAGTCACTTTCTCCGCCCACGGGGGCGGGTCCTCCGGGCCTTCCGTGCTGTGACGCCGAGAAAGACGCGGTCTACCGGTCAGGGTCAGGCCGTTAAATTCAGCGGCCAGGCGCTCCATCCCTGGCCTCCCTTCGGCAGGAGGGACCGGTTGAGGAGGAGCCACAAGGCCCCAGGGCTCGGAGTTGAGCCTTTTGAGTGGTTTTGGAGGATGTCGAGGCGGCTTGGGGAGAGGCTCGGAAGGGGAAGGGTCATCAGGGGGCTTAGGAAGGGGGAATTCGAATATGTCTCTTTTCTCCTCTTCTTCCTGGGCGCGAGGGGATAACAACCCCCGTCCCCCTCCTGCAGTCTGCAGTTGGACTTCCGAAGGCGACGTGCAGACCCCTGGACTAGGAGGAGCGGGTGCAGGGTCCTCTACCCCCGGGGACGGTGGGGAATTGAGATACTGCCTGGTCTTCTTGGTGCCCGAGGGCGAGGTATCCGTGGTTATGATGATGACCTCCGTGCCCTTGGCCTTGCAGGCGTCCAGCAGCGTGGCAAGGGTCTCGCGGTCCCCACGGTCCAGGGCGTGGACAAGCGCCGAAGCACCAGCGTGATCTCGGACTGAGGGGTCTGCGCCGTGGGCAAGGAGCAGGGAGGCCACTGCGGCTCCCCCACCCCCGGCGCAAGCGTGCATGAGCGCGGTGCGTCCTAAACGGTCTGCGATGTTGGGGTCGGCGCCTTGCTCCAGGAGGTAGCGTACCATGCGCGCCTTGTTCTGAGGGTCGTCGTAGCGAGCCCTGCAGGCCGCCATTAGCGCAGTCTCCCCCTGGGCATCACCCTCATTCACGTAGGCTCCTCCCTCCAGAAGCAAACGGGCCAAGCGTAGCTTACCCTGTCCCACCGCCCGAAGAAGAGCGTGGCCCTCGGTGTGCAGCATAGCTGCGGCTCGGGCGAAAGCACCGATGGAGCCGGGAATGGGACCTGCCGAAGATGGCTAGGAGTGTGGGGGTGGTGGTTGAGAGAGGCCTGAGGTCTTGGTGGTAAAGCCTATCCCTGTGAAAAAGAGGAGAGAGAGCTTATTGACAGGCTCAGCGGGGAAACTGAGGCACCGATGAAGGTGTCTGTTGTATGACAGGAGGGGGGGGGGCTCCTCGTCTCCAATGCACAGACTCCTGCCTTTGAGGCCCTCCCCCCAGCGCATGCCAGAGGAGGTGGGAAGGGTGCATCCGCACTGAAGGATGGATGAGGGCTCGTGCAAATACGTACATGCACGCGCAGAGACACTCGCACCCCCCATCCGCACCCCACGGCTTATCAGACCTTTCCAACATCCCCCTTTTCTTATCCACACTTGGAATCCCCCTCTCTGGGATACTGAACGCCACCCACCCACACACATGCACCCGTACAGTCATACACATATTTCTATTCCTAACCTCTTTTAGATTGCCACATCCCCAAAAACTGAGTGGGGGGGAGGAAGCAGCTTGCATTTGGGACCTAAAGGGGTGGAGGAAAAATTAGGGATTCTTTTGCCCCTGCTATGTTCCCCGTTGCTCCTTGTTCTTCCTCCCTCCCAGGCTGTACCCCCAAATAGATACCTGAATATCCGCATAATTTTTGTATGGCCAGGATTGAGGCCGGGGCCATGGGGGCCTCCGGGGTGGAGGAGCCGGGTACCTGGGGGCCCACATGGCGTGGGGGGGCACCCGGATTCCCTTGGTGTCAGTATCTGCGCCCCAGCGCTGGATCCTGGTCCCTCCTCCCGGTGCGCCCCGGGCACAGCGCCGGCTCCGGAGGAGAGAAGGGGGGGTGGGGGCGGAGCTCTGCTGTGCTATTTATATCCCAGTCTCTGCGGGTGGGGGCGTCCGGCACCAAGCCACTCCCCACCCCCATGCGCATACACATAAGCAACAACAACAAAAAAAAAATCATCTAGTGCCCCCAATCTTGACTCCCCTCTCTTAACCCACCTCCCCCAGCCCCAACAAACCTAAGCGCTCCTTAGGGGACTCTCCCGCGACCCATTCAGGAACCGTCATCCCGATTCTGAATCTTTGAGCTTCAGGAGACCTACATGATCTCCAGTATGCCAGACCTGACTGCCACACACTGCATATGGCACACTGTGCAGAGTGGTGTAGGGAGGCGGTTGGGAGCTGCAGTGGCGTCCACACAGATCAGAGAGAGGCAGGAGATGTAGCTCTCTTCCCGTAGTTTAAATATCAGGGAGAGTATAGCCTGGAATCAGACAGCAGGATATCCCCGCTATACCTCTCTCAAACATCACACACCTCAGAGACGCTTGAACCTCAGTTCCCTTGGGTCCCTCAGGAATGTAAGGAAGGTGGCTTTTCCAGGGCATTTTTAGGGCAAGGGGCATTCTCGGAACCCCATTCCCTCCGTATTTCAAGGGGTGTCCATAGGAGAGAGGAAAGGGGCAGAGCGGTGACTGAACCCTGTTACACGGGTGCTCTCCGCACACCGCTTCACTCCATTTCCCCATGTCGCTTAAAGGGCTCTGCCTGCATCACTCCCTGTCTCTTCCTATCTGTTGCTCTCGCTGCCTCTGCCTCTCCGTGCCACCTGCCCTGTCTCCATGGTTACCAAGGCTTCCATCTGCATATTTTAGGGATGAGTTTGTGTCCAGTTGGAAGGTACCAAGGGAAGTGGGGGCATTGAATGGGTACTAAGGGTTTGGAACGCTTACCAAGGATCCTAGAGAATTCAAATGATGGAGGCCACCATATACAGATGAAAAAAAAAATTACTGGGAAAGGAAGAAAAATATTTATAGGGAAAACACCCACTTATACTAGATATTGATGTGTCAAGTGGTTTGCTTTGCATACATCTCCAACCCTCACGGCTCTATAAGGTGGGAACTATTGTCTTCTTGTAACAAATGGTAATGAGGTTAAGCAAAGTTCTCCCAAGTTTCACAGCTATGTTTTCATACTATCCCAAAAACTGGGCACTTGACACTACACCCACATACAACTTCTCAGTCTAGAGGCCATTTTCTCTGACATCTGGCATATTCTTGTTGTCTGCTTTCTCTCCATCCTGAGGTAGTTCCCTCTTTCTACTGCGTGAAAGCATGACTCCCCCGTCCCCCCGTTCCTCCTCAATCTTTACCCAGGGCCTTGAAGGGCATTGGTTTACTGGTTTCCTGACTGCTCTCTCCAAGCCTCCTCCCTGCTCCCATTTCTCAGACACAGCTCCAATCCACGGGGTGTTGGAAGGCATTTTTGGGTTGAGCTTGGTAGTACTCAGTAATAGCAGAGGCAAAAGGATGAGTTCAAGGCCACCCTAAACTGGGTAACCAGATCAGATTTTTTTTTTTTTTTTAAGTATTTATTGGTGGTGTTGGGACAGCCTAAGTAAGATTAAAGAGAGGGTCGAAAAGTCACCAAAAGACAGCGCGATTGAGGGCCAGTAGAGGGCGCCATAACCCCTGGAGCTGGAGCCTGGCGTTTGGGAGCCTCCAGGCGGGCGCTGGGAACGAACTCGCTGTTGAGCAGTCTAGTCTCTCCCACCCAGGAGGACGCTTCCCAGCAGCGGCTCTCCTCTGCTGGCTCAGCTCTGAGGAGCAGGTCATCTTGGCCGACTCCTGCCATCCAGTCTGTTCGGTCCGGGCCGAGGTGAAGACTGCAGCCTCAGGTCTCAGGGTGCTTCACTCGCCAAGCCTCAGTTCCGGTTAGCTCGCTCCCCGCGCCTCCTCGCCCCGCCCGCCTCCTCGCCTCGCCCCGCCCTCCCCCGCTCTCCAAGATTGGCCTGGAAACCCACCAATGGGGAGCTCGGGGAGGCGGGCCTAGAACGCGGGCTGGAGGAAGAAAAGCGAATTTCAAGTTGGCCGCTGCGTGGGCCTCGAGTGGGGGAGGGACGGCAGGTAAGGCTTCGACTTGGTGACTCTGACCCGGTTTGGTGTGGTACTCCCCGAATTAGTCTTCGGTGGCCGACAGCAAGGCAGACAACGCTTTCCGTCAGCCTGTCGGGTCAGCCCCCTTCTGGATCCCGTCCCTTTCTTTCTCCCTGGGCTCCCATTGCTGTATTGACTGTACAGCAGAGACAGGGCTTGCTGTCGCGCCTGGGGACAGATATTAAAGCAGAAGGCGCGGAACGCTCATTCCTGTAGCTCAGACTCTTATTATGGTTCCACCCTCTCACGCATCTATTAACATTAGGCTTGGTCTAGAGCCTGACAGACTCCTGTTACCTACCAAGTCAGCTGAAACGCTGTCTGTCCCCTGCCCACCGCTTTCCTGGACTGCCTTTCTCTAATTAGTTGAGCCCCTGCCTGACACTGCCGGTTTAGCAGTTGGAATCTCTTTAATTTTTAAAAATCGCATCTGTGTATCTGTGTGGGGGCGTGCGGGCAACGGCTTGCGCATGGAGGTCAGAGGACAACTTGAGCGAGTCTGTTTTCCTGGCCTCTTGGCAGCAATTGTATTTACCATTTCATGAGGCTCGCACACCTCCATCCTTCCCATCTTTTTTATTGGCAGACTCCTGCTATGTGTTAGGATTGCAGGTTCTCTTTTGAAGTTTCTATTCTTTGGGCGGAAGCTTTGCGGGGACAGACTGTGGTACTTAATACATTGTGCTCAATAAACATTAATTGAATGGAATTGGTTTGTGAACCAGTGCTCTTGTCAAGGAGGACGAATTTAAATTCCTAATATAATTAGGGGACAATAGAAGACAACATAGTGTATAATTAAAGGCCTTTAAATTGGTGGCTTATTGCATTAATGTTTTATAATTACTCTCAGACCGGAGAAGGAAAGCAGCAAAGAGAACGGGATGGGACTTTTTATATCTCGCAGAGTCTCAAGTGTAGAAGGCCTATAGACTCATGTGGCCATTGTTCAAGCAACAGCTATTTCCTGATCACCTACTACAATGCTGGACAATGAGGATCACAGTGAACCCTCTACTATAAAATCTATTCAGTAAATTGTTAATGACTATGTGGAAAAATATTTTTGAGACAGCTTCTTGCTATGCAGTGCAAGCAGGCTGGCCTTGAACTTCTGATCCTCTGTCTCAGCCTTCCTGAAAGGTTGGGAGAGCAGGCTTGCAACACTACACCCCAAATTTAAAAAAAAAAAAAAATTAACTGTGAGGAGTAAATCCAGCCTTTTTTCTTTCTTTTTCCTTTGAGACAGGGTTTCTCTGTGGCTTTGGAGTCTGTCCTGAAACTAGCTCTTGTAGACGAGGCTGGCCTCAAACTCACAGAGATCTGCCTGCCTCTGCCTCCTCCTGAGTGCTGGGATTAAAGGTGTGTGCCACCAATGCCTGGCTCTACTAAATCCAGCCTTACAAACAGTGGGCAATAACTCTGTCCCTGACCTACATCCCTATCCCTGTGCCAGAATCTTTAATAAAAGAACTCTCTAGTTCTTCTCAGGTTATTCCACCATTTACTTTTTTCTTTATATTTGTTCAACTTAATTTCATTATTGATGGGGTGAGGTGGAGTGTGTGCGTGGCATATATGTGAAGATCAGAGGAATGGAGTGTGTTCTACATTTCCATTGTAAGGTTGCACCGATGTCACAATTTTTTTTATGTGTGTGGGTGTCTCCCCTGTATGTCTGTGCAGTATGTGTATGCAGTGCCTGCAGAATCCAAAGAAGGTATCAGATCCCCTGGAATTCAGTACAGACAGTTGTGAGCTGCCATGTGGGTGCTGGGATGAGGCATCTCTCCAGCCCACCCCCCCTTTTAAGACAGGGTCTTATAGAGCTCAGGCTGGCCCAAACTCACTATAGACCCAAAGATGAACTCAAAGTTCTGAATGACAGACTTGGCCCATGGTTTTGTGCAAGCAAGCTTTAATTTTGTGGGATTTTATTTGTGATTTTTGTTTTGTTTTGTTTACACACACACACACACACACACACACACACACACACACACACACGAGGGCAGATGGAATTCCACCCTCATGAATGTAAGGTGTACGTTTTTTTTTTTCCCTCCGCCTAGTCTTGTCCCGCCGCTGCGCCAGCCCCAAATAACACACTGAGACTCTGTATTAGATATAATTCTGTTGGCCCGGTTACTTGTTTCTTATCGGCTAGTTCTGCCTTAATTATTAACCCATTTCTATGTGTTTTCACGTGGTCTCCTTACCGGGGAGTGAGGCAGGCGTCTGGTCACCCTGGTCTCTCCATGCTGACCCTTCCTCCCTCCTCCCTACTTCCTATTTCCTCCTTGTCTCCGAGTCCCTCCTATCTTCCTTTCCTATTGGCTAACAGTGCTTTATTTATTAACCAGTATGAGAAACATATACAGAATGACATCTCCCATCACATGAATTGCTAGGAAAGGGTGTGACACCGGCCCTCTGCATCCTTGTTTGTATGTAGGTGTTTGGTCTGCATACATGTCTTTGTACCACTTGTGTACATGTCTTTGTACCATTTGTGTGCCCGAAAACCCTCAGAGAGCAGGAAAGGCTGTTGGATTCTCTGGGACACCGTTGTGAGTCACTGTGTGAGTGCTAGGAATCTATCCCCAGGTCTTCTAGAAGAGCAGTCAGTGCTCTTAACCACTGGGCCATCTCTCTAGCCCTCCCCTGCATTCTTAAAAACAAAACATCCTTTTTACTTGTTAGTTGTAGGATAAACATTTATTCCATACAACTTGCAAATATAGCAATATAAAGAAAGTGTGCATTATTCCATAATCTTAATGTAGTATTTACTGATTAATATTTTACAACTTTAAACCTCATTATTATTACATGTATACACATGTGCCACAGCACACATGTCACAATCAGAGGACAGACTTGTAAGGT